GATAGCGTTGGTCAGACACGTGTACTTGCGTCGTTCTTTACCGTTAACAGCCGACACAAGTTCCTTCATTCACCGCGTGAATTGCAGAAGCTGTGTGCCATCAACAGCCGACGTTTTTCATACACACCCTCACCAGGCCTCCAACACCGTAGTTAAGTCTCATTCATAGACACTTTATTCTCTTGAGGAGGTACTTGGTTGGCCGGGAGACGCCACGTTCTACGCACAGGTGTCAACGTTTCGGGTGCTATTCTCCCACCTTCCTCAGGGCTAAATGCGGAGGAAAGTCGCAAAATGGCGTCAGAAACGATTGCACCTGTGGATAGGACGCGGCGTCTCCCTGGCAGGTCAATTAGCTACCGGCTCTGACCGCGGAATCTATGCTTCGATTTATTCATAAAGGTATCTTTACCTTTAATCAGCTTCTGCGATGCCATCCAACCGAGAGCTTGAACGTCACATACTGACAGCGTAACCGTAATGGCTTTCAAGCTCCCAACTGGATGACACCGTAACAGCTGACTTGCATCAAGTGCCACTACAAATAAATCGAAGTATTCGCTCTTGATCCATCGTTGTTGCTTGGCATGACGGTTGCGTTGCGCATACCCGCACCAAGTCTCCAACACCGGAGTCGAGTCGTCTTCGCGCTCTAGAGGAGCTACTTGGCTGCCCGGGAGACTCCGCGTCCTAGGCACGGGTGCCAGCATTTCGCCCTGAGGAAGGCCGGAGAGTGGCGGGCGAAACGTTGGCCCCCGTGCCTTGGACGCAGACAGCCTGGCTGCGGCCGCGGAGGCCTACGCAGTGTACGCGTTCTTAACCCGTCGCCGTTGCCTGGCCCGGGCTGGCGGCTTGCGTTGCGCAGACGCGTGGAGCGCGGCGCTTCGCGCCTTCTCGCTGCGCGCCAACTGGGAGCGGCTGGCGAGCGGGCGGCCGTCGGGCGACGTGGGCTGCGTGGACGGCGTTCGCGCGCTCTCCACCGTGTGGGTGGTGCTCACGCACAAGGTGCTGCAGCTGGCGCAGGAGCCCTGGATCAACAAGTACCGACTCTTCGAGGTCAGAGTCCCTCCTCTCCCAAGGATGGCCATGTTTCATTTTATTTATTTATTTATTATTTATTTATTATTTATTTATTATTTATTTTTTATTTATTTATTATTTATTTATTATTTATTTATTATTTATTATTTATTTATTTATTTATTTATGCCCCACGAGATGGACAGCGTGCTAACTTACTGTGGTGCGGTGCCGGATCCGATTTCCTGCCGGTGACAAAAATGAAGTGGTAGCTTTCTAATTCAAATGGTCTCGGTTTCTATTGCCGGCCGTGTGACGAAAGAAAAGCCAATAGGTACGATAAAGGGAATATGCCATGCTCGCCACAATGCGCCTCTCCTTCAATATCATGGTTAAGAAATAAATCAGGGCCCTGGCTTGGGAACGAGGGTATGGAAAGTAGCTCGTAGCTGGCGAAAATCGGATTAATACGATCCTAAAATGCCAAATATATACATTCCAATTTATTAATTATACGTCAAAACTGTTAAAACCAAGTTTGGCGCACTATGAAGAGAATAATGTTTTGTACAGGTTTTCGTGAATTTTGAGATCCCTTCCATAGCTTCTATTAAGTTCTATTAAGTTTGACTACATGTGGAAACGAGCGTTTTGGGTACGAATTGATACGAAAATATCCTCTCCCATATAATAAGAATATTTGAAAGGGCATATCAGCGACAAATTTGGCTTGTTAGCCCTTATCCTGCCCTTCGTAAAGGAATCTACGTACTCTCACGAGACCGTGCATAACGACTATTTTAATTAGAATATTCTCCTCTGAGATCTAGAAAACGTCCACCCAGAGAAGCTACATTATGACCAGATGCAAAAGATGGCTTATCTCAGCATGTGCTCAAACGATCAGGGAAACTGGACGAAAAACTTTACAAAGATACGATGGTGAATTTAAATGTGACACACGTTAGTTTAAAATAAACAAAAAACAATTTAGTTACCATTGGGTACAAGTGAAATCGGATATTTTTTAAAATTTAATTGCCGGACTCCGAAAAAATATATCCATTACCTCAACCACGACGAGTTTTATTGTTGAATATTATTGAATTTGCCACTACATGGGTGCATACGGTTACCACCAACTTTTTTGATTCTCCCCTTCGTCTCCAAGAAGCAACAGAACGTCTTAATTCCATTACATCCGTGATTTGCGTAGTTACATGACTGAAGGAATTTGAAATCTAAATAGAATGAAAATTCAATTCCGAAAATTCAATTTTACCTGACATTTAACCCTGATACTTTTCATGCTACAAGCGTGGCAAAACATTCCGAAAATTTTCCAGTCTTGGAAAATGCACTGTTGACAGTAGGATTTGAAACCACCACCGTCTGTTGTTTTGGGAGCCAGAGTCCGCCTACTCCCAAACTACTATGGCCGACTATTTGCTGGATGATAAACAGAAAGTCCTGGGTTAGTATCCCGGTGGATTAACATATTTTCATTTTTGCGACAAACCGTTTCCAGTGTGAAGAGTGGTACTTAAGCCCTATTATACCTTATTGGCAACAATTTTTTCTCATGAAGAAACCCATTTGATTCAATTGTTAGTGTTTAATGTGTGTCGAGCGATTTTATCATTTTCACTCTTCATGCTGATTGTATCATAGATAAGTGTTTGGTAAACAACTCTTCCTTTTCTTTATCGATGTAAGTTTGCGTAACATTGAAACAATAAGCTGCTTGTCTGATTTGCCTTTTTTAATAACAATTCAGCCTTGTGGAGTCGTATGGAGATTGTTTAATAAATATCGTACTCAAACAAATATTGGTATGATGGTTAAAGAAACCTAGCCCTAATGACTGTAAACAAAACTTAGTTATTTCCCCACATGATCTTCTATCAGGTCTCCGACACTCCTAGTTTTATCTTGGCTTCTTTTATTATAACAGTTCAATTTCTTCTATCTTCTGCTTTTCTTCGCCACCTTTTAACATCTAGGTTTCTTAAATCTTCCTCTACCTCATCTTTCTATCTTAATCCTATATTTTCCTCTCCTACCGGCCACGCTCCCAGTGTACTCGTATACGTTTCTAAACAATTCCCGCATGATAACAAACAAAATTAGATATATAAGGAAAAGTATTTCAAGTGAGGGAGATTAACATATTTCAATTCCTAACTATTATTCCCCATAAATGCGTCCAATAAAATTAACACGCTTATAGAGTACGAATTTATCCTTGATATCAAAATGGGATCAATACGTAATTGATAAATGAGTAGCAAATGTTTTAAAGAAATTGAGTAAAATTACACCACAAATTGTTGGATTTGGCAGGGGGCATGCCCCCCATGCCCTTCACTGAATGGTTTGGTTTTCTCGTGTTTGTGATGAAGTTGCAATATAAATTTACAAATTTCAATGAAAATTTGAATGTTCAAGTTAAATTCCCAATCTATCTTACTTAGAATTTTTTTTCACTCGTGAGTTTGTAATTCTAATTTTTCACAAATTTAGCGCATTGTATTCGCGTTATAATGCAGTATATCAACACTGAATCAATCTTCAAGTCGTATTTTTCAGTAAAAATCAGTTTCGTAAATACAAAAGAGTTAAGACAAGATTGAAAAACGTTGACTTCACGTCTATCTGATTTATATGAATGAACAATAATATTAATCATTAATGCAATAGGTGTGGAATGATATAACGTTACAATGAAAATAATAAAATATCTCAATATATTTAATAACTTTCTTTAAACTATAGTTATTACTCGAGTCGGGCCTTGAGAAAACTCAATCAACGGAAAACTTTGGCAGTCAGTACACCGTAATACAATGGAGTCCAGTACTTACGATACACAAGACGCCACACCTATCATACCCGCGCCTCATCGTATCGATTCGCGGAGCCTTTCATCAGCACTGCAAGTACTCCGACCCACTTCCTACGCCCGGCGAGTTAATGACGCAATGCATACGAAGTGGCACACACTCGCAGCCCGGAAGCAATGCCCGGAGAATAAGGAAGTGAGCATTCAACACGCCGTCAAACTCTTGGAAAGAGCGAGAAGACCTAACACAGGCAGAATGAGAAACGCGAAGAAGAAAATGTGTTTCATAAACCTCGCCCAAACCACACTGGATGTGCTGTAAATCCAAAGATACATTTATGAACGTAATCTAAATTCAAACTGTTTTGTCAAAAAATGTGTCATGCTAGACGTATCTAATACATGACGAATCGTGCAATATAATATGTGTATTTTGAGCTTCGGACTAGTGGCAAGTTGAAGAGTCAAAAATTCCGAAATATATCATGCACATCGTTCAACGACTATTTTCGCAAAATAAATTCCTCACATAGAAATCAGGACATACGATGACCAAAAATGTTAGACATCACAATCATCATCTCATCTCTTTATTGTGTGATTGGAGGTGCTTCTCCATACCTTCTCCTTCTCCATAGAGCTAGCAGCTTTCTCAACCCTTGCTCACAAAGCATGCGTTGCTGCTTCTGCTTCCTCTCGCAAGACTAATAGTTCCACTTGCTTTCTGTAGAACCGCTCGACCTCATGCTTCCTTCATCTCGTAAGTGAAGTGTCAGAAATGATGGGTGAGATGTATTGTTCGTTGCTCTCCTCTGCTACTACGGTTCCTGAACACCATTTCATCTCGGCTCGTTCATCAGAGCGCTGTTGGGGAGGCTGTCGGGCGAAACTTATGAAGCACGGTCTTCCAATGAAGAGATCATTAGCTACGCTCTTCCTAAATTATTATTGTGTGTGTGTGACGCCATTGTTCCTAATCTGATTTTATTTATAGCTTCATTTTTATTTCATTACTTCCGCTATCGTCTTGTGTTCCATGAAATTTTAACAAACAAGTAATAAAACTAACATCTTAAAAATCATGAACTTCTTTAAAATTCATTATACATTAGCTGCCTTCCGCTTCAATGAACATTGATTTATTATGATGAGAATGATTTACATCTCATTGTGACTTTGTATTGTGTGTGCTTCAATTTTCTTTTTGCCACTTATGTTATCCATTATGTTCAATCATCCGAATAATATTTAAAACAAATTCACAATTTTCCGAAACATACTTGTACTTTGTAATATAACTTATTATCTAATGCATTTCTATATAATATCCTACACTCTCTCAGAGGAAATCCAATCCGAATTGAATCGAATGTCAAATTGATTCATTCGTGTTGTAGTAGTTCTATTTTCATCAATTACCAGAATAGCTTATTAAAAATGCAAATACAATAATACATTAATTTTCACATATTTTTGTTATTCTCAACCTTGCTGATAATTTAGATTGATAAAATAAAATTATCACTCATTCATCGTAATTAGTGAAAGTCATCTTCACGTAGACATTTCTAAAATATATGAAAAATAAAATAAACTTTTAAAATTGTGTCAGCCAAGAAGTGCAAAAACTAATTTCAAATTTTCGGTAACAGCAAATTGAGGTGTTGACATTGAAAATCAAGTAGATACCATGAACGATAAGATAATAAAATGCCACACCAATCGCGTCGCAAAACAAATACATTTCTAGAAGCATTAATTTAAATTCTGCAGATTTCCAAAGATAGAGACTGTTATAAAAATGTGAAGTCATAGACAAACGTTTCCTGCATGTCCCCTAAAATTTGGTTTTGGTGGCTAACAAGTTTTTTCGAGGTCAACGCCACAAACTATTACACATTTATATTAAATATTATTCTTTAATACAGGAACTATTTCCCACTCTTTTCTAGCAGAATCCTTTGCGAACTCTCATAACTGAATCCATGACGCACATCCAAGTTAAGAGCTGTCCACCCTTATGAGGTATATAATATACCAGGAGATTTTAGTAGGAGGTTATAGACTGCACAGAGACTTTCTAATTTATTTCACACTATACTAAATAACAGAAATATTTAATAAAACTGTACAGACAACGAAAACAGGCAAATATTTTACCATTCAATCATATTCCTCCCTTATTATGAAAGAATTCAAAAAAATAAATTAAATAATAGAAAAGTATATAAAAATAATTAAAATACATGTTGTTTGCTAGAAAACATATTTTAGTATGAAGCAACCATTCGTCGTAATATTGCGGTTTTGTGCTTGTAAAGCTTGCATGTATACACCCCTTTCTGAATTTGGAGAGGAAATAAGAGCGGATACAGGGGAAGTTGCCCGAGTTCGTTCAATCACCGGGCTTCCTGAGCGGGCAAATAGTTTGTGCGTGCGCATTTTGACACGCTTGTCCTAAACTTTGTAGCTCAAAAACGAAAATATAAAATATTTAATACATAGCTTCCGAGTAAAAGGTTTACCTAACATTACTATATTTCTAAAAATAATGACAAATGTTTTATTAACCTTTTCCTGACTATTGTTTCTCACTTATTTAGTTAATGCGTAGTCAAGCTAGGCACAGTTTTGTATGAAAACTTGAGAAACATAATATTTGAACATTTATTAGTAGAGAGTGAATCGTAATACATATTCATTTACGTTTTTTTTATAATTCACTACATAAAATGCCCACCAAATCAGATATTATCTGAAGTTACGTATTAACACTTGCTCCCCAATACTTTGTTCATATTTTTAATACCTATATTAGTTAAATATCGAATGAATCAACACACTTTATGTTAAGACTTGAGGGCAAAAACACATGTTTTTGCCCCCGAAATAGATCATAATGAGGAAATCCTATTTAAATTACTCGCTCAACCTTTCAAATGGCCGTGAATCACCCTCTTAAGAGGTCGGGGTTTCACAATAGGAATCAAACATTCGGCGCTTCGCTAATTATATATTACGACAGTACATGATCGATAACTCTCTTATGGGCTAATTTGGACAGTGGCGCACTCACATTAGATCCTCTGGTAATGAGCTTCGGAATGAGACAATAAGCACTCTTGCGGTTTAAGCCACACTCACGGACGAGCCAATCAGCACACACTTACTCGCACAATAGATTACTTCATTGCAATACTCGTAAATTCACAAAATCAACAAACACTCCGTTTGCGTCCAACTCACTCCACGTGATATTTCGTTCACGCGGGCACAACAT